ATTTTTAAACTATCTCCTTTTTCCTCTTTTCTTTCTTTTTCTTGTGTACCACTTATACATTCTTATCTTTTTTGTTCTATTATACATTTTTTCTTCAAAATTGACCCTTGTAAATTTACTTCTTTTTTTTTAACTCTCTGTTCAAATAATTTATTCTCATAAATATCTTTGTCTAAATTTTTTAAATCATGTTTCCTGATAAAACGTTTCGTTAGTATTTTTTTCTTTTCTTTTTTTTTCTTCTTCTTTTTCCATTCTTATCTTTTTTTTTTATCTTATTATACCTTTTTTTTATTTTTTCTAAATAAAAATTTAATAAATATGTCTTTTTTCATTCTTATTTATAGTAAGCATGCGGTTTAAATTATTTTTTTTAAAGAATTATATATATTTCTAGGGCGTTGCCAAATGCGTGTCTAGGTCCTCTTGGCTGAAAGAATATATATACTGCGTGCCAATATAGCAGTACTTTTAGAAGGGGTTGTCTTCAGGATATTGTTCCCTTTTTAGTGGATATATTGGTGAGTGTTGATTGGTCGTGGTGTTAAATAGACCTTTGTTATTGTCTTTTCTTTTCTTTTCATGGTTCTACCATCTAAAGGTCTCTTTTTTCCTCTTTTTTTTATTTTATTTTTTTATTTTTTTTATTTTTTGTATTTGGGAGAATCATAAAAATATCTTTTCTATTTAGGCAAAATGTGGGTTTTCACCAAGTGCTTTTGAAGACAAAAACATCTATATATTTTACCAATCACATAAAAAACCTCTTCCTATTTTAAGAAATCAAACTTAAGGTGAAAAGACCTAATACCCTTAAAATCTTGTTATGTAAGTAATCCTTATTCTCTAATAATTTTTTTTAAAAAAATATACCAAAATACTAAAAGATACAAAATAATATTCTAAAAACATACAAAATTAAAAAAAAAAAAAAAAATTGGTGCGACCGACCCTCACAATGCATGGCTTGGGGTGAAAGGGGTCTCGAAGTACAGTGAACGGTTTTTTAACTTAAATATATATGAATCATATCGTTAAAATTAATCAAACAGCTAATAAAACTTGGTCTATCACTCTATTAATTAGGGCTGAAAAATGTACCCTGCAGTGGAAATTTTCATAAAAAAAAAAAGCATTAAATTCAAATTTAAATATACCAAAAGTACATAAGTGATATTTCAAGAATAAACAAAGATTGCAATAGATTGTAGCTATTTAAGCTATGCATTTTACCCTTTAAAAAAAGAATAAACAGAGAATAAATATTCCATGAAAAGACAGAGATTAAAGATCACTATAAAAAAAAAGTATGAAAATCAAAGGAAATACTCAATCAATAATTCGGAAATAGAAGAGAAGTTGGTAAAAATTTGGCCAATCGCCACAATCTGGCTGAATTAGGCCAACCAAACAATATAAGAGCTCACGAAGTTCCTAATTAAATGCAACAATTTGAAAAACTCACATTTGAGTGGGAAAAAAAAAGAAGAATTCGTATTAAATTTAAAGCAAAGAGGAAAGGCAAACGAAGAAAATTAAAGCATAATTAAATGTAAAAGAAAAGGACAATAATGCCTATTGAGACAAATTAACGATAAAGCCATTTATCTGGTCATGCGAGAATCCTTGACTATTTTTTAGACTAAACTCTATTTCAACTTGTAATAAAATGCTATTAATTTCATCTTGAAAGTTCTTTCCAAACAATTCATATTTGCGAGGAAAAAAAGGGAAAACAAGTGGAATATATATTAAAAATTTAAAATCAATAAATATTATGGTTTCTTCTTCTTTCATTTTTTTATGGCTTCAAAAAAGAATAGTATATGTATGTGGGATATATTCGGTAACAAGAAATCCATTAAATACTTATAAAAAGAAAGCAAAAAAAGACTTAGTTTCATTCGTTTCGGTCGTTTGAATTAAAAATTTGAGTTAAAAGTTTGAATTAAAAATTTTGAGTTAAAAAATAAACTCATGTGATTACGCAAGTCACACAGAATGACAGGACTAATTAATAGACTAGTGATGGAATGTAACAAGCGATTGATTTTATTATTATTATTATTAGAAAATTTTTTATATTAGTACCATGTGTTATAGCGTAATTGTCTTTTGATACCTTGTATTTTTAGTAATTTTAAATTGATACCTTGATGTTTTAAAAAATTATTTTTAGTACTTTGAGGTCATTTTTAGGACTAAAATGTCAAATTTATTATTCTCATTATTTTACCAAAAACTAATAAATTTAAAAAAAATTCTAGAAAAATTATTTTAATTTAAAGCATTTTTTATTTTTTATTTTTAAATGTTTTAAAAAAATTTCAGATTTTTTTTAAAATTTATTATTAATCTTTTGGTTAATTAATGAGAATGATAACTTTGACATTTTCCATTCTAAAAAATAACTTTAAGATACTAAAAAATAATTTTCTAAAACGTTGAGATTTTAATTTAAAATTATTAATATGAATTTTTCCTTATCATTATTCCTATTATTATTTTGCAAATGAAGTGATTGATTAATTAAACCATTAAGTAGGCCATGGCTATCTGAACAAATCTCTCAATGTTCCCTTTGATGCCAAAACAAAATAGAGTAAAGACAATTAGAGGCCTCCAAATGGCCAAAAAGAAAGGCATCTACATGTCAAATGAAGCTTACTATCTCTCTCTCTCTCTCTCTGTTTTTTTTTTTCTTTTTTTTCTTTGCTCGTCTTTTTTCACTTTATTTATTTCTAATATCAATCATTCCCTAAAAAGATTTTCAGTACAATTTAGCCGTGAGAATTTTGCCTTCCTTTTCCCACCTGTTTCGTTTATGCTCCACAAAATTATGCCCAAAATAATAAAATTTTGCACATATTATTGTTAGATCAACCCGTGAGCATATTAAAAAGAATGTACGGTTGAAACTTCAAAACAGCCCTTTAATTACAGATATGGATGGGCCTATTTCTTTCGGCTACTTAAATACGTGGAATTTGCTTAACAAAAACGGTGGTGAAAAGTCCTCAAAAGTATTTAATTATCCAAAAAAAAAAAAAAAAAGTACTCAAAAGTATTTGCTCTGGTGTTGTCCAATCAAGGGCTCCCAGAATTATGGTCCTGCAGGGACCTATAAAGGTTGCCTAATATCATTATGTGGTGAAAAGTTTGGGTATAAACCTATTTAGTTACTCTTTTGTTTTCTCCCTTACTAATGGGCCAAAATCGAATCTATTGGCTGTTTATCTGCCTAATCTCCAAAACCTAGGTTTTTTTTTTTTAAATTTTAAATTTTATTTATTTACTTTTTGGCAGTTAAAAAAAGCTTGGTTGGTGTATTGAAAAGGAAAGGTGGGGAAATTGCTTAATCCTCATTACCAGGAAGACCAAAGAAAGCAAACAGTCATCACCTTGTTGAACTTTCCGACCAATTTAATTTAAATTAATCCTTGTGTTAATTTTTTAATGTCATTGGAAAATGAACACCAAAGTGTATGAACTTGAAAACAACTCATTACTTTATAATGTAAAAAGCTACACGGGACTCGTTTTTGCAGATTGAACCTATTGGTAAAGCAAGTTATATCCACTTACTTTACTGTTAGGCAATTAGGCAAATAGTAAAAGCGCAGTCGGATCTTTTTGTTTATGAAAGTAATTAGCATAAGCTTTTGGATAGGCATTTTTTTTTTTAATTTAAAAATCCTTGATAATCTCACCCAGTTTGAGAAAACAAAAACAGTGGAAAGGATTGTTCATTTCTTATTCTTTTCCTAGCAATAATAAAAATGCGCCCTATAAAATGTTTTTTTTTTTTTTTTTTTCAAGCCAAAATAGGAGTTCTAGATCTCTCCTGTTAGTTCTCAATAATTTCATTGCATAAATGATAAATATATACGTATGAGTACTTCATTGCATAAATGATAAATATATATGGATGAGTTTCAACAGTTTCGTTTTCATAAATATTTATTTATCAAATACAAAAATTGAATAAATAGTGTGATATTAATCTAATTTCATTAGTTTCTATACATTTAACTACTCAATTTATTGCATTTGTCATATCAATCTCATAAGATTAAAATACTCATTAATGAGTAAATGAGTAACATAGTTGTGTTGAATTTTTTTGGTTGGTCTACCTGTGTTGATTTTAAAAGCATAAAAGGTGACTTCCCCTTCACTGGTTAAATACATGTGCGTATATTTATCTCTTCTGTAGTGCACTTGCCCAGTTTTGACATGTTTGAATCTTCTTTTTTTTTAACCAAAACAAAAAAAAAAAAAAAAAAAAACGCGCCTTATCCTCTATCCAATCTAGCACGTAAATCACCTCGAATTAATAAAATCGGATGGTTTTTAATATAGTGCTTAAGGGCAGTCTAAAAAATATATTTCACTGTACAAATTTGAGATCGCATAACTAGTAGGCGATCTCCAAAACTTTACCCGATTTGACATTGCACTAGACTGAAAATTTTGATACTTTAGAGGTTGGATTGAACTAAAATTTTGATGTAAGGGATCATGTATTTTGTTTTGTTTTATTTTTCTTTTCTATTATTGAAAATATGGATACTTATTTTTACTCTAAAACCTATTAGTTTACAAAAATAACCTCAGTGGGGAAATATCTCACACTTAAACCAGCAACGGTGGTGGGTAACGACCATGCAATGATTGTAAAGGGATCCAAAGGCGGTTTAGCACACACGAGACCAGCAGGAGGCCAGATCCGGCCAGCCGCTGTGGAAGGTTGCCAATGCCAACCTCAGCTTGGGCTATCAGCCCAGCGGCGCAAGGATTGAGAGATGAGAGATAAAATAAAGAAGAGATAGTAACGTTTATTTTGACCAAAAACAAAAGTGACAACAAGAGCCAATAAAGGCGCTGGCCAGACTTGCACTAGCACTTGTTTCCTCTGGATAGTATGAATAGAATCTTATAAGTTTAAAGGGACCCATCATTTCCAAAATAAAAAAAAAAATAAAAAAAAATAAAAAAAAATAAAAACGTGACAAAATGATAACAGAGTCAGCAGCAATGATTATAATGATTAATGACATTCAAAATACAATCGCTGAAAAACTTTTTCCTCCGAATAAATTAATGATTAATAAAAGAACCTAAGAGCAGGAAAAATGGTGTGCAAAGTAGAGATAGGAATCATATCATGCTACCTATAGTTCCAACATTAAACATGTGATGACCTGATTGAAGAGATCAAAGAGTTTTCCACAACCTTATATCTCGCCCGTTCCCAAAGGCTGCCTTGAGGTATCACCAGACGCCCATGCCTGATAGTCTTTTACAAGCTACACAAACAGTTTTCTTAAAGCATCAGAAGAGAACAAATACAACAGAAAAGGAAATGGACCACTTAACTTATTTTCTGTAAAAACTAAAAAATTTTGTCATTTAAAGAGTCATCAAGTTTATTATTCGTATTCATTGAGATAGTATTGTTGCACACACTGAAAAGCTCTATTAGGTATCCACTTTGCGTTGCTGGGCGGGAGCCATTTATTTTATTTTAGTTTTATTTTTACCAAAAGGCCAACTTAAGAATTAAATAATGCGTTTCTACAACCAAAACCTACACAAATGAAAATCAAGCCCATAATATTCACCATACATACCCCAAAAAAAAAAAAAAAAACCTACTTTCAAGCTTCCTTTGGTCAATTTCAAGTTCAAGATGAAATCCCTGCATTCTCTATGATCATACTCGTCCAAAATTTTGATTCCAATGGATCTAAGGTTTATTTCTTTTTTTTTTTTTTCTGACACAGAAGATAACCTATTAAATCATTTTCGGTATGTTATATTCCTAAAATTTAAATAGGAAATATTCTCAGAATAGCTCATTGAAAATAAAGAACCCATTTGTGGTAACCCAATTTTGCAATTTTTAAACAATGGTGGCACACCTTTAGTATAAAGTTATAAACCAAGTACGAAGTCAGTAAAGTTTCAAGTTAACCATATCTTGTTCATAATGAATGTGACCTCACTCAGAAAAACGCCATCAACTATCACAACAAACTGACAATCTACTTATTGACAAATTAAAGAATAGTTGTCATGATACAAAAGGAGACAATAAACACGGTTAGTTATCCACTATCACCTTTGCCATTAACTTTCTTTAAACTAGGTCCCTACTCCCTAACCACAACTACGTACGAACTGTTGTTAAGTCCAATAAGTCCCATCCGTCTAAGACTCTGGATCCATTTAAGTAATTCATGCTTCTAGCAGCATAATCGCCACCATTAAGTTTATATCATTACCCATTTTTTAAGTTGGTAAGCATTTTCTACTCCTAAAAAAAGAAAAAGAAAAACAAAAAGATGCGCACACTTCAGGAAATTCATAAATGAAAAGTCAATGCATCATATACGGACTATTTCTTGGTTGGTTGTGGCTAATAGCCACGAGTGAAACAGTCAAAAGACAATCTCAACTATGCAAGTTAGCCATCACATACGTTCACTCTTGCACTTCAACTCGCCGTAAGCAAATGACTGCAAGCGAAGAACCATCACGAAAAAATATTTGGAACATGTGATGCAATCAAAATAGAAATACATGGAGCTAGAATTAGCAGTTATAAACTTTTCCTGCCTCATTTAAATTTTCAGAATATAAAAGTCAATAGGAAGTTCCAAAAACCTGTGCCATAAAGCGAGGAAGCATGATCTTTAAAACTTGTTCAAGGACTTGGGAACCAGTAGATTCAATGGCTTGCACTGGAATTGGAAGAAATGAGAAAGGAACCTCAATGCTAACCTGAATTTCACATGATTGTCAACGTGTAAAATAGAGGTATTAAAGAGTATCTAAAAATTGTGCGGCACAAATATGTATGTTAAACAATATCTATATTGTTTTAAGCCATTACCTCGATGATAGCCTCTGAAGTCAGTTGTTGCTCTGACAAGTCTCCTTCATTGCTATTGCATGATATTTTATTCTCCATAAAAGCTGCATGCCCACACCAAATAATGTCAAAGCATTCCTGAAAGAAGGATAAACCAAATGACTCCAACAAAATAATTGTTTATTCATCTAGAATAAAAACTCCGTCATAAAACCTCTTTCACCATCCCTAGTATCTGTTGTATAATAACCTACGGCATAATTTTGTGAATAGTAATAACGACACTAAGTCTATTGGAAGAATTACAGAACAATAATAATGACAAATAATAGACACATTGATGAGGAACAAGATGCCAAATTTACATACCTATACAAGGCGTCAATGAATGAAGAATTTGTATTTTGTTATTTTATGTTTTGTAAAAATAAATTGTTAGAATTCCATGCAACTTAACAACTAAATAACTTACAACCAAGGTCTGAAAATTTCTTGGTACAAGATGACCTAGTTATAGATTGGTAATTTAGCACAAACTGCTTTAAATGACAACTAATTTTTCAACGTGCACAAGTTGATTCCTAGTAAAATAGCAGAAAATAACAACTAATATGAGTTGGCAGAGGACCGGTACAAGTAGTACAATTGGTCGAGTTGTTATTACAGGAAGCAAAGTTGCATAAAATTCTAAAATAATTTTTAACATAATATAAAATAAATATAACAGAATACTAATTCTTCTTGAAGTCCTACGTGTTAAGATGTGGCTCAAATTGACCACATGAATTGGTGATATCACATGGATGAGATAACTATGGACCAGAGGGCTGTTCAAATTAACCGAAAACCGAGCAGGACTGATGGTGTCGACCAAAAATTGCCGGAAGGCAGTGACCGACAACTTCGGTTAGTGAACCGAACCGCACCAACATTGGCGGTTTGGTGCTCGGTTTGAAAGATTTTACATCGGCCGGTGACTGAAAACTGACTTCTTCCTGTTTCTGGCAGAGTTTCAGCCACTGACGCTCATTTTGTTGCGCCGTCCCCTCTCCCTACCCTCTCGTCTTCTCCTTTCTTTTCTTTCATTTATTATCCGTCAAAAAGCCTACTATTAGGCCCAAGTTCCTCAAAATAAAGCAAAAAAAGTGGGGCCAAAGCCCAAAAGTCTCCAGGACTTTTTTTTTATGCCATCACCTCTCATGACATAAACCCACTATTTGTCGTGCCGTTCAAAAAGCAAGCTACGACGGTGACCAAACCAAAACCAATGACAAAATCGGTCATTGATCAATCGGTTTCATCCCTTTTCTGGACGGGGCTCAATTTCCATGAAAGGGAAAACCAATGATGTCGGTTGGTGACTGAACTGATGAAAATTGTCAGTCATCGACTAATGTACAGCCCTACCAGCCTACGATTTGCCTTTTTCTAAGATTATGACAAGTATAACCAATATAGTCTGGTATGTCCTTAGAAGCCAAGTTTTGCTCTCTCTCTCTCTCTCAAGATTGTTACAAATGCAGCCAATCTAAAACCCAAATAAACTCAAAATACTCCCGTAAACACACTAAGAGAGATTCTCTTAGAACACTCACTAAACACTCAAGAAAGCTCCCAAAATTATGATGCTTTGAATGTTAGAGGGGAGAGCAATTTATAGGTTAGCTTGGGCATTAGATTGGAAAGGAAAATTTGGCTTCCAAGAACATAATAACACTATAGATTAGTTACACTTGTCATAATCTTGGAAGAAGGCAAATCTTAGGCTCCAAGAACCTTGAATCACCATAGTTATATAATCTATGTGACATCACCAAATCCCATGTGGTCAATTGAGCCACATCTTAACAAATCTCCACCTTGGCGAAAAATTGAGCCTAGATCCTTGGTGCTTTTGTGAGAGCATTTTCGGTTTATTTGGGTTTTGGGTTTTCAATTTGGAGAGTGTTTAAATACTCCTTTTATGATCTCCTTGTTCTTTTGTTAGTGAAAATTCCTCGTCGTCTTTGCCTGTGGACGTAGGCTAAAAGTTAAACCACGTAAGTTTCTCAGTGTTATTTTTCCACGTAGTTTATTTCTTATTTTGTCCCAAAAAAATATTATATTTTGGCAGGATTCCTAACGTAACACACCTCCCACTAATTTTGATAAAAGTAAGGCAATTACTTCCTCTACTTTTACTTCCAAAGTTGAAATGCCACAACAGTCATGCTAGAGATCATATATCCTCTCGTTGTCCACAACCTGTCCTTGTTATGAATCACAAGAATGACACCTCACCAAAGGAAATAAGCTCTTTGCTATAGCTCCAATACAAGCAGATATGAAGAAGACTCTCTACTGATATACGAAGATAATTCCTCTTCTGATGAGGAGCATTTATTTGTCATGAGACCCATTTTGTCTACTCACCGATTGTGATGCATGGAAACAAATCAATATCTTGCACACGTTCATACCTCTAAAGCCAACTATTACTAAAATTTGATCTTAAGCCTGAACCACATCCTCGCCCATTTAAGTTAGCTTGGGTAGATAAAGCTTTCTTTCCTGCTACAGAGCAATCTCTGCTTGACAACTTGTGCCACTTGTGACAACAATTTGACAACTTGATCAATTGTACGACTTGCACCAACTCATAGTAGTTGTTATTAGCTAGGATAAAATAGAAACCAACATGTGCAAGACAGAAACTTAGTTGTCATTTAGAGCAAGTTATGCTAAAATGCCTATCATAGATTGCCCATCTTGTACCAAAAAATTTTTAGACCTTGGTTATGAATAATTTAGTTTCTCTTCTAGTGTTGTTGCTCTCTCCTTAAAATTCTCTACTATTCTCTCTTCTCTTCATCAGATTCTTAACTATTTTTTTTTTTTTTCTATTTCTTTCTTCCTCTCTTGTTCCCTCCAAATCCTATCTTGTTCTGCATCACACATGGTTCAACAACTTTCCTACTTCCAAGAGAGTTGAAATACAAATATTCCACCTAAAGAATTAGAACACAATATAAAGTGTCACTCACTCTCAAAATTCAAGTCCCAAATATCTCCAAAAACTCCTCCACATTAAAAATCTAATTACACACTTCACTCGCTCACTATTTTTCTCACTCCGATACTCCGCCAGAAAGAGCTCTCACCTTTTTGTCATAGTCAACATATTTTTATAATACTATCTTTGCTTTTGTTAGTTGTGATTACCCTGTACAGAAATACTAAAATTAAATATTTTATTTCACTAGAAACCATTACCATACGAATAAGTTAACAAAAATCCATACATAAAACGTTTCAATTTATAAACCAATAAGTTCCAGGCCTTAAGACCAGCGATATTCAATATGGATGACGATGACAGTAACAACACCAAAAAAATTAAGGGATACTCATTAGTTTGCTTTGATCCACCTAAAAGAAATTACGTAATTTAAAGTTTAAACTTTGTGAAGAGTGACACTATCAAACCACAAAATCATCAATTCAAATTATCCTCCATCATACAGGTAAATCACTCATAGACATCATGCATGCATTATTAAAATATAATACCCAGAATTTGTTGTACTATAAGCAATAAGATTTTCAATGTAAACAGGAAGGACTTATCTTACCATCAAACTTGTCATTCTGTGCGACAACGATTGGCGAGCCCTCAAGCTGTAGAATTCAAAATAGTCAAGTAAGAGGTACACCAAACTCAACATAGAGCCCAAAAGCAAATAAATAGATAAATAAATAAGCTTGGGTCCTTCATGAACTATTGTTTCTACATGTAACGTGTAGAAACAGGGGGTATAACATGTCATTTACTCTATATAACAATGACATCGTAAAGATGCCACAACAAGGAATTTATCTTGACACAATAATGTTGTACTTTTTTGGTCATTGTTATATGTTACACAAATAAAATACATGTTACACCTCTTATTTCTACATGTTACGGTGTGGGACAAGGGGTGCCCAAAGATAAGCCCTAAAATAAATAAATATAATCAAAATTCAAAACACACCTTGCATGACAAGAGCTTTATGCAACACCCTTTCGGCTCCTCTTCTACTCTAACAAGCAAAACAGGGCAAACCTCAAAGCTAAAGAACTTGATCCTATACACATAACACCTGAACGTGTTATCATCCACTCTCTCTATCCTCTCAGCATCCAACACCGAGTACTGGCTCGCCGGCAAGCTCATGTACTCATCTGACAAGCGCAGGGAAAAAAAATCCATAAATTCAAAACACAGAAACGACAACAAAATGCAAAAAACAGCAAATCCAAAAACAAAAACTACAAAATAGTAGCTTTGAAATTCCAATGTGCGAATCCGAAATTGCATTCTAACATTACTTAGCTGTTCAAAATCCATAAATTCATAACACGAAAACGACAACAACATGCAAAAAAAAAAAAAAAAAAAAAAAAAAAAAAAAATTCAAAAAAAAAAAAAACAATTCCAAAAAAGAAAAACGACAGAGTTGAATCCAAAATTCCAATGCGAGAATCCGAAATTTCATTCTAAAATTACTTGGCATTTCAAACCCCGTACATTTCATATAACTGAAACGACAACAAAATGCAAAATACAACAATTCCAAAAACAAAAACGACAAAATGGAAACAAAGGTCCAATGCGAACGAACCTCCACTCTTAACATCACTTGAGCATTTCAAAATCCACGTTCAAAACATAAATACTACAATAAAATGCAAAAAAAAAAAAAAAAAAAAAAAAAAAAAAAAAAAAAAAAAAAAAAAACCCGAAGAAGAAGAAGCAATTCCGAATACAAAAACAAAACAAAAAAATCAAAAATTCCATTCTAACATTACTTAGAGGGCGTTGGAGCTGTCGAACCAGTACGGACTCCTTTCGCCGAGCGGAGAAACGAGCTCTCGGATTCGAATTCACCGAGACGCGAAGCGAAGACCTCGAAGAAGATTCGCCCGAAGAAGAAGACGAAGATAAGCTGGAAAGGACATGGCTGAAGCTCAGAGAGCTTCGTCGTCTAGGGTTTGTGTACGGACACGAAATTGGTCCGAAATATATGGAAGAAGACGACGGCGAAGATGAAGAACTGGCGCTTAGTGCCATTCTTCTAAAGTTTCTGAATTATGAATTAAAAAAAAAAAGAAAAAAGAAAAGAAAGAAAGAAACTTCTTTTCTTTTTCTGTTTTTAAGAAAAGGCGAACAAAGAAATACCTTACATGATTAGCCAAAAAAAAAAAAGAAATACCTTACATTTTACTCGAAGGAATTAATTTGAAAGAGTCGGACAATAAAACAAGAGGATTGGCCGATTGGTGGAGTGGATTTGAAAAGTGAGAGGTCGAGAGCGCTAAGCCGCTAATTGCTAAGGATTTTCGCGCACTCGCTCTGTTTCGCTAACGTGTACGGCATTACGATAATGGGATGAGATCAGTGGGGACATCATGAATCCGTCTATCCGGGTCTTTGGGCCTTTTGGCTCGAATAAGCCCGGCCCACGAGACGTTCACAGAAAAAAAAAATAAAGAAAAAAATGGAAAATTTATCCAGCGTGAGTCTATACCTATCATTTTAATAAATACCTATAAAAAAATACTAAAGAAAAAATTACAGAATTTACCTTAACATGGGTCTAAATTTTACCCCTCAAACCATGCACTCAGATTCTTGACTCAAATACTTTTAGAGTATGTTTGGTTGGGTGGAAAGGAATGGAATAGAATGGAATGGAATTCTAGTTTGATATTTGGTTGGATTTATACAAAATAAATGATCATTTAAAAGGAATGGTCATTCACCCATTTTGAGTGAATCATCATTCCTTCCTCATATAGGAGGAATGACCATTCTAATTTCTTTTTTATTTTTTTCCATAATTACCCTTGAATATTATAATCTAATTAAAATATATTATGTAGTAGTTATGTCTTATAATATAATATAATATATAATAAAAATAATATAATATAATATAATTATAATAATATATTAATTAATTTATAATATAGTTATAAATTATAATATATTTATTTAATATTCTATAATAATATATAATATATTATAACATAATTATAGTTGTAATATTATCTTACAACGTAATATATATAATATAATATAGTTGTAATATTTTAATCAATAATATAATAATTACGCTAATAATTCTAATATTATTATATTATAATATTATAATTATATTATATAATATTAATAATTATATTAAATATAATAATAAATATACATTATATTGTAATTATATATATTATATTATAGTATAATATAATCATTATTTTTAATTATTTCATTTATTATTTTAATAATATTATTATATTATATATCATAATTATATAATATATTATATAATAATAATTTTATTATATTATGTTACATTTTATATATTATAATGTTATAATTATATTAACAATTTTAATAATATTGTTATATTATATATTATAATTATATAATGTATTATATAGTAATAATTTTATATATTATATTGATAGATAAAATATTAGTGTTATATATAGCATAAGGGTAAGTTTGTCAACATGAAAATATTCATGTTCTATTCTAGAGAATTCTTAAAATTACAACCAAACAAATAAATCAACTTTCTTTTCTATTCCATTCCCATTACCATTATCATTATCATTCTCATTCCTATTATCATTCCCCCACTGTAACCAAACGCACCCTTAAAGGTATTTATCTCTTTTCTTCAATCACTAATCACATATGTAAAGCACTTTTGATTCACGCGTTTAAAACTATAATTCTAATTCTACTATACTACTTTTCTCTTATAAAAAAGTTTCATGCCAATGAGTTCTCTAAAAAAATATGAATTTAAAATCAAAATTATTCAACTTAAATGCATGAACTAAACGGGCTAGTAGAATTTCTTAAAAAAAAGAAAAATCCTTTTTTATTTTGAACTCATAGAAATGCATACTCAAACCACATGTTTAATTTTTAATGTATCAACTAATATGTAATCAATCAAATTATAACACATTATTTAATAGATTTAAATAACAAAATAAAAGAATTTAGTTAAAAAATGTTTCAATTTTTTAAATAATGCGGCACATCTGATTGATTATACACTATTCTAAATATCAAAAAATCAACGAACAAGCATAAAGATAAAGATATCTTTATGAATGATGTTGTTTTATTATTTTTCTTTTTATTTGTAACTTAATTACTTAAGAGTGACGATAACATAAAATTAAAGCAACAATTAAGGGGGATATTCCCTAATTTTCTCTAAGATGTTCTAAAATTGAATGTTATAATTCTGAGAAAAATAAAAATAGAATATTAGTCGAACAATTTTATTTGAAGTTGTATATTGCAGGTTCTTTTCGTCACATTGTTTTTTTTTTTCCCCTCAAGAGATCACATTGTTATTTTGAGGAACATATTTCTTGTTTATATGTGGATTAACGTCCGAGTGAAGTGGGCATATGCTAGAATTTTGTGTAGGTGGGTTTACTTAATTTGATTAGCAAAACTCCCAAACTTATGCTTAAGTTTAAATTTGTAGTTTAACTTCGAACCACAAAAATCAATACACATAAACACTCTAGTCTAAAAAAGTCCTCATCATTCGGACCAATCTAGCCCGGCCCATTAATACATCATAACTGTAGCACCACTATTTTGACTTTTTTATTTTTGGATCTCCCTGCTATTTAACTTAAAAATATCATACTCAAAATCAATCTACAGAAAATATATGTTTATTTCATATATTTATACTCAAATTATTAATTTTATTGTATTATTTTTTTTTTCAAAAAAAAAATATTAATTTAAAACGTTAGAATTAAAAATTATAATTTTAATATACCTTCTAAACTAGTCTTAAATATTGAAACTAATATTTTAACAAAAAAAAATCAAAACTAATATTAAATTGACTTTTTTTTTGCTCTTTAATATTAATGTTCCGTTTATTTTACTGATTTAAATTTACAGTAAAAAATTATTAGAAATAATTATATCTAATTTTTTTACTATAATAAAATTACATTTAAATTTAAATTAAAAATTTAAATTAACAAACTAAATGAGTTTAAAAATATGTTGCCATTCGGATCCAAGTGGCGAGTAAAATGAATCGTATACCTAATTACGTATTATACACCGTAGACTGTATATCACCAAGAATTGGAATTTCGGAGCGCGTGTGATTGGAGCGAGTTAGCATAAAAATTGAAACCCAAAAACAGCTCGATGCTACTCTGTCCATTTACCCTGCGACCGCGTGGAGCCGCGTAGAGCAGCCAATTAGACATTTTATTGATTGCCCTTTTTCCTTGAAATGACGAAATGATGACCTACGTTTTAAAGTCAACGGTCCAGATCGGGAGAATCATGGGACCGACCGCATGTGATTTTACCTACCTAAGTAAAACAAACCGAAATAGTTAAAAGCGGTTCTCGCGGCCAAACAAAAACGAGATAACCAAATATTCCCACGCGCAACTATACACGCGCTGTCGCGTGGGGATATAATTGTAATGTAAATGGATAGGTAGATAGCCAGAGGTTTCCACACAAAAAAACACAACTCACGAAAAGAAAATTTCCCCTCAATCTTGCGAAGAGTCTCAAAACCAAAAACCCTCCATTCTCTCTCTCAACATCTCTTTCTCTCTCTAGTTCGTGGACTCGCTGTGTTCTCCGTAAGCTAATCTGAGTTTGAGCTTGTGTTTGTTTGGAATTCGATTCACTTTTGAGTTTTCTGATAATGTCGTGAAGGTTTTTTTGCTTTTATCTGTTGTTTCTCTCTCTAAATTTGCTGCTTTCTCTCTCTAGGAAGAGGAGGAGGTGAAGAAGAAGGGGAAGCAAGTAGGAATGGAGTCGACGGAGTCATCTTACGTTTCGTCTCCGGAGGCGCCGAGGAAGCGGTCTCCGCCGCCGCCTAAATCACCTACCGCCGCAGGTTTCTGATCTGATCTTCTTTCTCTCTCCCTCCATTGGTTTGTTCATAATTATGGATTTAATTTTGTTTGTTGATTGAGAATGAAGACGAGATTGGCTTCTTTGTGATAATGCTGAAACCCTAACTCTAAATCTATTACGCTTATTGTGTTCTCGTTTGTTTGCTGAGAAAATGGGAGGAACTAGAACAAAACGGGATTGCTCTCTCTTAATTTAGCTAAATGGTTAGCTATTTTAAAGGATGCCTTTCATAGCATGAAGAGGCTAGTCAATTGTTTGTTTTATTATTTTATTCTTTTAATTGTAATAAATGTAAAGATTCTTTTGTAAATTCAATAAAATTATTTATATTTTAAATCTAATAAATATTAAAATAATCTATATTTAGTTAAAATAGGAGTATAGTTAGAGTGACTCACTAAAAAATTACTAGTTAAAATAGTTTTTAGCCATTTTAGTTAGAATTTAGTTAAAATTTAAAGAGTTCCCATCAAGATGCTCCTATCGCATGATTCAGTGAAGTTTTTGCTCGTTGCGTGGGAGACACCAATTATGCTATATTAATTACCGGGTTCTCTTTGTCGTTTGAAGCAGAAGGTCAATTGAAATAAAATAATTAGTTTTAATAAGTTGACATTTTTAAGATTTGGGAGATTTTTTTCCTCTCTGCCATAAAATGGAGAAATGAAGCGAATTTTACTTTAAACTAATGTTACATTTGACAGATTATAGCTGAGCTCTCGTGTTGAATGTATTATAGTTGGATGGGCCTGAACTTGTATTTGAAAATCGGCGGCAATTGATAATTTGTTGAATGTGATTTTTAAATTATGAACCTGGATTTGTGCCTCACATTACTTGTGGTGCATTTTCTCCATTTTTCATTTGATGAAAAAACAAAAGGGGCAAAAGGGAAAGAATGGAATGATGAATACGACATAATGTTGGCTGATTTTTTTATTTTTTTATTTTTTATCCTACCTGTTGTTTCAGTCTTTAGGACATATTTGCTGTTCCATGTACATTTATATTAAAACCCATGATACCTTGGCATTCTTTTCTGGGGAAAGTTCGAGTCAATGGATTCATGTCATGCATAAAATATGTAAATGGTCAAGAAGGGATTGTATATCTTTGCATTTGCTGCATAATCAGTCCAATCCAAATTATTTTTTCTCCAAGAAAAAAACGGAAGGTTTACTGTTACCCTGTGAGTTAAAGAATTGAGTCTTCTGCATGGTTGCTGACAATGTTCTCTGGAACTGATGTCCCAGTGTGTCCAATTTAAATAAATTCGTTAACAGGTTTGACTTCTGCACAAATAAGACTTCGCTGTTCTCTTGTTAGTTTTGGGTGGGTTAGTCTCTTTGATAATGGAATTGCATGTCAATGTCATTTTTTTTCTCTACTTTATATGGTTAGATATAAACTTGAAATCTACACCAGCCCTGACTGACCCTTTAGGTAATTTGTAAATTCATGTGATGGCATCACAGATAATTTTACTCTATATGTTCTTTATCATATCGACTGCTGAATCTTAAATTTCTGTTTGAAGTTTCTCTCCTTATTCATCATATATGTACATTAACCTGCAGCTTATTTGCTGACATGTATGTTCTAAGGACTCTGACAGTCGTTGTTTTTCACGCATCTTCTAATATGCTTACTTTTTGACAGAGTCTATGGAGAGGCCTGCATACATTAAGTTTCTTGTATCAAATGCTGCAGCTGGTTCTGTTATTGGAAAGGGTGGGGCAACAATCACTGATTTTCAATCAAAATCTGGTGCGCGAATTCAGTTGTCCCGCAATCATGAGTTTTTCCCTGGAACAACCGATAGGATCATTATGATATCTGGAGCAATTAATGAAATTATCAAGGCAATGGAACTTGTTCTAGCGAAATTACTGAGTGAGGTATTCTGGTTTTTGACTTTAATGTCCTACAGATTATATTATGACGTATGTGTTGTTGGTGTTCCTCATACATTTTCTTTTCGTTTTTTAGCTCCAAACTGAAGAAGAAAATGATGTTGATCCACGAAAAAAATTGAGACTAGTTGTTCCAAACGGTTCTTGTGGAGGCATAATTGGGAAGGGAGGGTCCACCATAAAGTAAGCACACAGCTTCTATTTCCTAATTGTATAGACTGATGCTTGCTATGCTTTTTGTCATTTCTATTAATTAATTAAATTTAGAGGTTGTCCATTTGAAACTCTTTTTTTAGAGTCTGTTTGAAAGACTTCTTTTGTTTCCCTGTTTAAATAGTTGAACAAATGGCAACATATTTGCCCAAATCTATCTTCATCACTTCATGCTCGTTTAATGTGTTGTGTTTTTAGAAGACCACTTAGTTCGAATTTGTCTAATTTGAGAAACCACTTGACGTGATATTAGGTTCTTTTTCATTTTACGATTATATAGATATAGATATTGTGGTCCAATGGATGCTAAATATCTCTCCTGATTGTAGTTTTTTATTTTTATGTACGAAAGTTTAGTACCACTAACACCATATGGTGTCAACTTACCACTGTAGTTTATTAGGTTCTATGGCATGAAGTTTTGGTCCTTGCTTGCATTCATGAATTAAACTACGGGAAGCTGATTATTAATCAAAATTCAAAAGTTTTACTCCTTTTTATGAGGGTTTGATACGATTCCTTCATTGGTTGCTCGTTGTTTGCTTGTTTATTTGATCGAACAAAGCCCATATAGCCTCCTTTTCTTGACGAATTCATACTTCTGTTTGATCCACATTAGTGAATGGTAGAAAGGTCATTGGTATGAAAATGTTATGTCAAGGCTTTGCCCTTCTAGATAAGGTTTTTGGTTGTAAAGCCTGGCATGTTGCCACGTTGGTCAAGAATATTGCTGGCTAGGCTGGTCACAATACAAAGGTGTAATCATGTGAGGACAATCTGAACATATAGTGGGGTCAGGACCAAAGTGTGCATTCTTTTAGATCCATAAAATACACGATGTGCTGGGAGATTTTTAATACTAACTGTAACTTTCAGAGAGCAGACTTTCTAGAATCCTCAAATTGTTACACTTTCTGCCCCCCCTTTGAGGAATTTTGACTTGAAAAAGAAGGAAATTTTTCTTGATATGCTAGTAGCAGTTTTAGCTGCTTTCCACTAGAGGAATATATGTTTTTTTTTTCTTTATTTTTAAGGCAGAGTTATCTAATTTTTGGACGTAAAGACAGTTGCATGCTAGCTCCATTTAATTCTACGTTTAAGAATTTCTACAAGCACATAACCCTTGTTTCCAACTATGTTCTTGTTAAACTGTTAAATTTATATATGCTTGTTTCCAAATATGTTGTTGCAATATACTGCTAGTTACATTTATGTTTTTTAAATTAGGTTTACTCATTTGCTCTCCCCAAGGACCAGAAAAATATTTGTTTGCTAATGTGTTTAGGTTTGCCTTTGACCAGGTCATTTATTGAAGAATCCCAAGCGGGCATCAAGATATCTCCTCAGGACAATAATTATCTTGGGATAAATGATAGGCTAGTAACACTGACAGGAACTTTGGACGAACAGATGCGAGCAATTGATCTGATTCTTTCTAAGTTGGCTGAAGACCCTCATTACACACAGTCCATGAATGCCCCATTTTCATACCCTGGTGTGTCTTTCTTAAAATCATTCTGTTTTTTATATTATTGTCATCCTTTGAATGCTGTTAATGCAAACTTGTGTTTTTCTTCATAGTGCTAAGCAATTTTCTTGACTTTTTTTGCATTATTTTTATTTTTAAAAAATGTTTTCACCCTTTTTTCTTAATTATTATTATTTTTGCGTAAATGTATAATCTTGACAGTTGACATGATGTGTTCTGATTAGTCATCAAATAATCTTATTTTGATCTGGTGAAGTGTGAAACCATAGCGATGCTCATTACACACCATACTTACTTACCAACTTAATGCTATGACGACTACTGCTTCGGAATTGGGAGCAGTCGCAATTTTTAATGCAAGCTTAATGCTGGATATTGTATAAATGTTACATGTCTCTTTTTCTTTTTTCTTTTTTGATTTTTTTTAACTGTAATGTTAGGCTTCTTAAGGTAATTTAATTCCACAATTAAGATGAGAGCTGCAATAATAGGAGGTTCTAACAATTTTGGATGTCAAAGTGGGTTTGGGTTTGGGTGATTCTTGGATATAAAAAAAATAAAAATAAAAAAAATAAAAAAAATAAAAAAAATCTATTTTTGGATGTTGATACTCTGTGGCCTTATTGTTTTGCTTCCCTTGAGAAATAAAGATGAGAAAGTTGTGATATATAAACTAGCTACAAGTGGTTTTTTAAAATCATACTTTGTGTAGGGTTGTTGTGAAATTTGATGCCCTGTAAGTTCCCTTCAACTTGAATTTAGGTGTTTTCTCAGGTATTCATGGTACTCCATATCCACATGTGCTTCCTTCTGTTGCAACAGCATCATACAATCAAACGGGCTATGGACCAAATGGCGCTGGAGGAAAGTTTCAGAATAACAAGGTTCACACTCTTCAACAATGCTTAATTGATCGACTTTTCTTATTTAAATTTGCAATTACTCAAGGAAAGAGAAAGTTAGCTTGTCATTTGGCTGACGTACTGTGAAGAGATCTAATTTTGATCTGCTGAACTCATTAATAACACCGTTAAGATTAACTTGGAAAAACCTCAGTCAGAATGAGTATACCCCGTGTTTTCAAGCACTTCATAACAAACTTGTGTATTGAAGCACTTGGGATTTTAGTATTGGTCTTTAGATAAATCAGTTAAGTACTTTCCACAATTCCATCTAGGATGTAGTTTTTTTTTTTTTACCACTTTTTGTTTGTCATACTTCATCACTTCTGAAACTCATATAAACTAATAGAAAAAAAAAAAAGTGAAATGAAGAACACACAAAACTAATAGTGTTTGTTTGCAAGCATCGTGAGCATTATTTCTCTTGTTTTGTATTGGGCAACATGTATGGACTAATGGAAGGGGAACATATATGGACTAATGGAAGGAGAACATATAGATAAGTTACAAAATGGGATTTCATTAAGATTCTCACGATCTCAATTCATTTCACATTTAAAAATATAGGTATACGGATACTTGAGCATAATCTATGCCATTTATGAACATAAGTGCCTGAATACAGATTTATGGGTCATCAAGTCCATATGAAATGAAAGTGGAGTTAGTATGATGGGAATATGATATGAGCATGTGGGCTAATTCTAAATATTATTACTTTCTATTTTCGTTGTCTAACAGATGAAGTTTTAGGATCATAGAATAAATGAGATCTTTCGTTATTTTAGGCATTCTGTGATTCTGTTATTTATTCCTATCTTATCGTTATATTTAAAATGGGAATGAATCAGAATCAAAACTGTGACAATTTCTTGTAAAAGGAAACTGCTGGTATGGATAAGAAAATTGGTCTTTCGCACTTGCGTTCACTCTCTCCATAGTTTCCACAGTTCATACTGTATCTGCGTTCAAGATGATGAATCCCCTATCTTGGCAACATATATTAGGTTTTCCAGATGTGTTAAGTCAAAAAATATACATTCTTTGATCATCCTTGTAAATTCTTGATTGACTGACACCAATTGCTTTGTGTTATTTTTGCAGGAGGATCGGAGTAACTCGGTAACTATTGGCGTTGCAGATGGACACATTGGATTCGTTGTTGGTCGTGGTGGAAGGAATATCATGGAGATCAGTCAGGTTTGTAGATAGCAACTGATATCCTCGTTTGTGGGAGTTCACATATTTACTAAACAAGAGCGTTGTGTTTTTGTAGGCGAGTGGTGCTAGAATAAAGATATCGGATAGAGGCGATTTCTTGTCTGGAACAACAGATAGGTAAAAAAAAAATTCCGTTGACCGTGCACTAATCTTCTTCTTCATCAAGTGTTTTGACATTTTTTTCTTCTGCCCTGTTTTTCAGGAAAGTCACAATCACGGGTTCCCAGAGGGCAATCTGCGCAGCCGAGTCGATGATAATGCAGAAGGTAGCCTATGCTTCCGAGAGGATAGCGGAGGATTAATTCCCAAGTATTGCAATTCATTCTTTTTGGAATGTTTTTGGTGGGCCTGCTTACAACATTTCATATACAGTTGGTTATTTAAATGCGTCCACTTAACGTCCTCACATGTGATAAATTAGTCAAAAAAAAAAAAAAGAAAAAAAGGTCAGAATACCTGTTGTAGGGGCGAGAAGGAAATTTTCTTTATTTTTTTTTTTTAATTGTCGACGGAGAGCAATTTTTCAAACTTGTATGAGATCAGGGTCTAAATTTCAGAAAACCAAAAAGTTGGAAAGAGGGCATTATTAGTTGACCAAATAGAATGTTTAGAGTTATTTATTTGTTTATTCAGTTGTAACTTCTGAAAGTGGCAGGTTTGTCTGATTTAATATTATATCTTCATTGAACAGTTTTATTGACGTTAATATTTTTGAGGATTCCGAAGGAACAAGATTTCAGCATTCATTTACTCGAAATATGGTCGTGTTTTCTATTAATTTATTGAGCTTTTTTTTTTCTCTCTTTCTTTTTCGTTTTTCTTTTTTCTTCTCTTTTTTCTTTTTTCTTTTTTCTTTTTTCTTTTTTCTTTTTTTTTTTTTCTTTTTTCTTTTTTCTTTTTTCTTTTTTCTTTTTTTTTTTACGATGTTACAAAGTGATAAAGAAACAAACATATGTTAGAAACAGTTATATTTTTCAGACGATTGAAGTAAATAGTATGTTAACTAGTAAATATTTATTTATCTGACGTGAATTTAATATTTACTTGCGTATTTATTAGTAAATATTTTATGCGGAGTAAATAAATATTGTAATAAATATACTATGTACGCCTACAATATATGTTAGTTGCTTAAAAATCGTTTAAAAAATATATTTAGAATAATGTTTGGGATACTAATTTAAATCTCAATTTTTGTACACTAATTAATATTGTATGTGAGTTGTTATTTTTTTATTAATGAGTATTTAAAATATTATTACGTTAATTAATGACAAGAGATTGCATTTACAAGTAAAGAAATGACAATTAACATGTTACATTAGTTGATATACAAAATTACTCATATTTATTACAAGAATATTTAGTAAGATTGTGTTTGGTATGAGAGTTTAAATCATGATGGTTTTGATTTTAAAATTAGAACTATGATTCATGGTTTAAACTTCTAGAATTGAAATCAGAATTAGAAATTTGAACCATCTAAAATTAAAAAGGAGGTGGTTTTTTTTTTTTTTGAGTTATTATAATTTAAAACATCACATTAAAATTCAAATATTAAATCAAAATTATCCTAACTAAATAATAATTTTTAAAAACTATTCTAACTTTTTATAAATAAATAAAGATTTAAATTAGAATCATAATTCTTATTCTAAAACTCTTATACTAAACGCAACTTAAAATTCAAGTCGGTGATTTTGATACGTTGATGCGTTCGACTTTTGAGTACCTTAGCTTCTTTTTTTCTTTTCACGCTTTAAAAAATAATTAAAATAAAAAAGTAAGTTTTTTCTTCCTCTTTTTCTTTTCGTTTTGTTTATTTATTTACTTCTTGCGCGTGGCTGTGAAAAGTTGAAACGTGTTCATTTTGTGTATGTTTATTGCAACGTGTTATTGCTTTATCGGTTCTGCACGATCTGGACCCAAGTATATTCTAGTGGACAAGTAACAAACAACACTCTTCAGCAAAAAAAAAAAAAAAAAAAAAGAACGCTGCTTTATTTCCTTTTTCTCTCTCTTTATCTGAATAAAAGATCCAAGTGCAGAAGTTTGTCTGAAAAAAATATTCTATATTATTTTTTATGAAAGATAAATATTCTCTATTAATAGGATACAGACATACAGGTTTAATTTTGTTGAGTCTTGTTAATATATTATTATTATTTAATTTAAGATGATTGTATTGTAATATGACCGTTTATAAATGTGTCGTGGATAGTTTTTTCCTTTTTTGTTTATGCCCTATCTAATGTTTTCAGCTCTAGTTTATTCCAAAGTAATCTTTGTTTATTTTCCTCTTTTTTAATTATTTTGAATGAAACTTTGTTGAACTTGCCACCGCATTTAGAACTCGTTTAAAAATAATTTTATTTTTTATATGAAAATGAAAACGTTTTCAATTTCAGACATATTTTATTTTTAAAAATGTGTTTAGTAGTTTTATAAAGAGATTATTTTCAGTGTAAAAAAATCTATTAATGTCTCTATTTCTCTCTCTCTCTGCTCGAGAGAGGGAAAAACGAAAATAAAAAATAAAAAACAACTAAAAGTTATTTTTTATTTCTCTTTTATTTTACACTAAATTAAAAAATTGTTTTAATTTATGTTTTTTGTCTTTATTGCGTCAAACGTCATTTTGAAAATATTTTCATTTTTTTTTTTCAAAAAATATGAAAAATAAAAACAGAATTAATTCCAAATACGGACTTTGTTGCTTGTGTCATGAACATTGGAATGTTTCCCTAATATGAACTTCAATTTCATCTAATTATCATTTAACTATACGAGAGTATTATATGGTATTATATAAGCTTTATGGAATATGGTGTTTGGTTTTTTATTGTATTAAAATATTGTATATATATATATATATTTATATATAGGGGGAGGCTAAAGTGCGTCCGACGGATGGGAATGGCTGTACGTGGCAGTTTCTTGTTGGAGGAAGCTTTGAGGGTGTTTCCACGTGTTTCTTATGTTGGCAGGTAGCTCTGAAGTCGTTTGCTGGGTTAGCAAGGTTGAATTCTACTGGTCCGTGGTATTTTTGTAAATAGCAAGATTTTGTCATGTCTCGACAGTCAATTCACTTGTTATTTTTATTTAGTATGAAATTAGAGGATTTTGCTTCTCTGACGTGTCAAAGGGCACTGTAACGTTGATGTTGGTTGCTGTTGGAGGATGTGGTGAACAAAGTTACAGCGTATCTTTGTGAGCCCTTAAGTTCACGAAGGGTTGGTTTTTTTTTTTTTTTTAGTTCTAACTTTATCGTTTGATTTTAGATTGAGGTGATTTTTCTTTCTATATGTTCGTAGTGACAAACTAAACAAAACAAGATTCTTATTAACTATATTATTGTTTACTGAACATTGTCATATTCATTAAGTATAGTATTACATGTATAACATACTATAAAATGATGTTTATATCTTTTTAAAATATCATCTAATAATTTCGATTAAGACAATTTTTCTTTCTACGTATTCGCAGTGACGAACCGAACAAAACAATATCCATATTAACTATTTTATTTTTCACTGAGCATTGTTATATTCAGTATGTATAGTATTACCTGTATAACGTATAACGTGACATAGAACAATGTTTATATGTTTTTAAAATGTTATATAACTTTAAAGTAATAAATCCGTTTGGGACAATTTCTCTGTCTACGCGTTCGTAGCGACGAGTTACCATAACGTAAACTACAAGCTACTACAAAATATGAAAGTTAACGTCAATTCTCCAACACCTCGGCCTTTATTAATTTTCCTTTTTACCAAAGTTAATGTTAATTCTACACTGTTCTTAAAAAATTTTGCACTTAAAACACTCAACAGTAAACATTAATACGGAAAATTATTATCAGTCCAGCGTGAAATGCTTTATGTGAAACCAAAACTACCAAATATGACAATGTTCCGTTTAAATAAAAATTTAGCATATGGATATTATTTTGTCCAATTCATTGCCCCAAAACATAGAAAGAAAAATTATCTCACTCATTACAACGAAGTTGACATTTTAAAAATATAAAAACACAATTCTGCATGCAGTAACATACCTACCAAATATGACAATGCTAAGTGAAAAAAATAACTTAGTCAATATGAATATTATTTTGTTTAGTTCGTCGTTATGAACACTTAAAAAGAAAAATCGCCTCAATCTAAGATCTAACAGTAAAGTTGTGATTTTTTTAATGAACTATTGGTGAAAGAAAGAGAGGGTCACATAAACTAACACAAAAAAGAAGAAACGACTCCTCATTAGGTCCATTGATGTATGTTGTTCTAGTTTCAATTTAAATAAATAAAAAAAAACATATGTTATAGGATTTACATCTGACGAATGTTTTGAATTGTTCTTCTACCCTTAACTTAATCTCAAACATTGAATATAGAGAATGACGAAAATGTGATAGAAAAAGTAATGTCAGATTTTATAAGGCATGAAACGACAATGTAACAGTTTTATATTTGTCAGCAGTTTGTTTTAGTTGAAGTAGCAGATGTGGCTGTATTCTTTTTTTTTTTTTGAGAAATCGTCGCAAAAAGTTTTTTTTTTTTTTTTTTTTTTTTAAGTCATAACTTTACTGTTACATATCAGATTTTAGTGATTTTCATTTTTATGTGTTCCATAGCGATAAACTGAACAAAACAAGATCTATATTGATTGTGTTCTTTTTCACTAAGTATTGTCATATTCAGTAGGTATAGTACTGCATGCATAACGTGATGTTTTCACCTTGATTATATATTTTTAAAATATCATAACTTTGCTATAATAACTTTGATTGAGATAATTTTCTTTCTACGCGTTCATAACAAAGAATATAATAAACTAAGATCCATATTGACTATGTTATTATTCTCTTAACCTTGTCATATTTGGTACGCTTGGTACTGCTTGTATAATTTGAAGTAAAACGGTGCAAAAACTCGATATTTATGGAAGAACTCCATAGGCAATATTGTAATAAAACCCCAATAGTAAAATTTTTTTTACAATTTTATTCTTATTTGGTCTCGATTGAAGTTTTCATTTGTAATAATATTTATATGAAAGTTTTTTAAAATGTTTCAATTTTACTCCAAATTTTAAATTTTAATATACTTGTATTTTAAATTTAAAATATGAATTAAATCAAAAATCAACCGCAATGTTCTAGATGAATAATTTTGTGCGCCGTAAACTTTAAAGTGAATTAAACTCGATTGAAATAGTTGTACTATTGTTTTAGTAAAAAATTTTAATTTATTTCTCACCCCTGAAAAAGTTTCTGGCATCACGACAGCAAATACTCATGCCATTAGGTAAAGTTACAACTATTTGTTGTTATATGCTAATTAACTATAGTGACTTGCCGAACTATGAAACTTCTTGTTTTTCTTTTTCTAATAACAAAAAGGACTTGTATTAAACTAGCAATAAAGAGTCCGAGCACTGTTGAGAGAAGGGTTGTTTGGTTGAGGGATTCGTCCCCTGATTCGAATTATGGTTTATGATTCGCTACAGTATTTCCTCTCATAAAAAATACACGTAAATCGAAAATGGTTATAATATTATGATTCTAATCTATGAACAAACATCTCCTAGGTACTCAATTAACATTTATTTATTTTTAATTGTTCATATTCTAAGACATACTTTTATTTTTTCAGCCATTGAATTGATGAATAAAAGGATTTGAGCCGTTGAAAAAGGAATTAATATTATCTATTAGTTGTCAACCGATTACAAAAAATTATGGATAAGATTGTTTTTAAACCTTTTTTAGTCTTAAAACGAGAAGTATCTGCCTTTGGGAAAAAAAAAGGGGAATGTACGGTAGTCTTACTCGAAATTATAGCTCTGTTCACTTCGCTGATTCGAGTTGAGATGTGATTTTATGTGAGAGCTTTTTACTGTAGCAAAAAAGTTAAATGTGATTGTTTGTGAGAGCTTTTTACTGTAGAAAAACTCAAATTTTAAACTCAAATTAGCGAAGTGAACGGGCCTTCATTAACAATTTTCTGAAGACTTGGAGCCCAAAATGCTCAATAAGTCAAGTCACCAGTCTTTTTACTTCGTGCTAGGTAGTTTAATTACGGTTTTGGAAAATTCATTCAGAAAGAAAAAAAAAACACGTGCTTAAAGTAATACGAAATAACAAGGCGCTTTTTTTTTTTTTTTTTTTTTTTAAATTTCTGCAATGATAATACAACAGTAACTATTTGTAATAACAAGCACAAACATGCACGTACACATGCAAGCGACGCAATTCACCACCAAGAATATATGCATGCATACATGACTTGATGCTGAAACGTTGCTGCAAATTATTTCTAGATTGTGAATAATTTCTTTCTAAAATAAAATACAATCTTATATTAATTTATGGATTGTGTTCATGGAAAATCATCGCCGCCTCCTTCACCATATCCGGATCCATATCCCTCACCATACCCACTACCGTGCCCTGAACCATTGCCAGAACCTCCACCACCACCACCTCCTCCTCCGCCGCCGCCACCTCCGCCGCCACCACCTCTACCGCCGCCGCTCCCATACCCGCTTCCACTTCCATATCCCGATCCATAACCGGACCCACCTCCTACTCCGGAGCCTCCACCACCTCCTCCTCCTTTACCGCCACCGCCGCCTCCACCACCCCCATTCCCACCACCAGACCCATACCCAGAGCCACTTCCGTATCCCGACCCATAGCCGCTGCCAGAACCGGAACCATTACCTCCACCACCACCTCCACCGCCGCCGCCACCACCACCACCTCCTCCTCTTCCTCCCCCACTACCATATCCTGAACCACTCCCCGAGCCATAGCCTGAGCCATACCCCGAGCCAAGAGCCGAATCGCCACCACCACCTCCTCCTCCACCTCTACCATTAAGTCCCTTCAATGACCGAGCAGCAAGGGAGAGGTCAGCAATAAGCAAAGCCAAGAATGCAACACCAATCACCTTATTGCTACTCGCCATCTCCAAAACCCAAAGTATTGATTGGTTAATGAAGAAAATTTGGTGATCACTCTATGAGAAGAAGCCAATGTGTATACTCAATTTTTTTGTTGGGTGAATAAGTATGAGATAAGGGTCTCTATTTATAGGCATTGTAGAGCTAATAGTACTTTCCAAACATTTTACTAACTTATAATAATTTCTAGTAGCTTCTTTCCTTGTATTATATTAGAAAATGACAATAATTGGGAACATGTGTGCGGATTTTTGGGTTAGTGGTTGTTGTAGTGGTGGGGGTGACGGTGGTGATATTGCGGGTGATGATGATGGGACATTGTTCAATTCCATGTCTTTCTTGTCTTCATGCAATTCCCTCACCTCCTATAGGATTAAAGTGTCACTTCCACTTTTGACTAATTGCATAAGAAATAAAATATATAGTCTGAAAAATTCGGCCAACGAGATGCCTTCACATTCTTAGGCCTCGTTCGTTTCGCTGATTCGAGTTTAGAATTCGAGTTTTGCTACAGTAAAAAGCTCTCACAAACAATCACATCTAACTTTTTTGCTACAGTAATATATATATATATGTATATAGCACTCTTTGTGGCTATATATGTTACAATTGTCTTCTTAAGGTAGTACTTTTACTTTGTGTGGTTTACAGGGTGTGCTCAATTAATTACGCACCTTAAGCCAGATGGTATATATGTTTGTAATAATAACGGTATGTTATCAAGGACACGTGTATTTATAATGGGGAAGTCAAATAATGGGAAAAAGATTTAATGACAGCAGGAATTGATC